CCAAAGGTATCTTCGGTTCATCTTTGCCGTCGTGGTTCACGTAAGCCACTATGGACTACCCTTTGACCCATGGAAAGCAAGGTTCACTTGGCGAGAAATAATGGTCCCCTTTTTCTCAGAAAGTTCTTCTAACTTTCTTTTCTTTTTGTCAGAAAGTTCTTCTAACTTTCTCCTCTTTTAGTAGAAAGTTCTTCTAACTTTCTTTTTTGCCCCTTTGCTTTTTTACTTCGTCATAGATTATTTGAGTGCAATCTTAGAATGAGAGGTACCGTGCGGCGTTTAGAATAAGTTAAGCGTGCGTGTGTGGGATCCCATGCGATTAGTATTAAGTTAATGTATGTGCGCGTGTGTGTGATACAAGTTCTTTACTGGATTGTGGTAAAGAACTTGTATGCGAGCCTATGAGCTATGTAGAGTCGGAACTCATTTATCCTTCTGATAAATGAGGTTGCATTTGGAGGGAGGAAGGGATTTGGAGTTAGGGTGGGTCACTATCGTAGCCACCTCCACGTGGTGTGATCTGGTAATCGGTATCGTCTTCTAAAGATTTTGCAAGATTTTTAGAAAACGATATCGAGCTAAGAGCTACGAATCAAATTCAATTCACAACTCCATTTATTTTATATTTTTAAGAACACTTGTGAACAAGTTATAATTTTTGCTACATTATGTCATTCATGAGCTCGGTTCGTGTAATGCATTGTGGCAGATAACAAATTAATCAATCATGTAATGACTTGTGTTATCGATAAGATCAATTTTGGTTTAAAAAATTTGCCACTGAAGTTTGATTTCTGATTAAATTTTGTAGAAGGAAATTGAAATAAAATATTAATAAATATATAGGATATTAATCGATAAAATTGATATTTGATTTTTTACAGAAATGGAGCTAATGGCGCCATCTTTCTGCGAAGAGGAGTGTCTACACTTTCTGATTAGCACACTTGTCTCTCTTGTCGATGACATAGGGAACGACATAAAAATGGTAAGAAATTTTCTATTAAGTCATCAAAAATCTTCTTTTGCAAAAAGGATCTGCTTTGAAAAATTTAGTCGAGCATGAAGTTTCACCAATTTTGCTGCTTTCGTTATCTCTTATCATGGAAACACACCGACATACAGTATCATAGCGACAGAGTTTCCGATAAAAATTGAATGATTCGTTGCCAGATGACGCAGTACCATATTTCCTCCATATCCCACAAAAAAGGTAATAGCCTCCAACTTCAATAATTTTATATTTTATTCAGATACATGTATTTTTCACGACACTCAAAAATGTTCAAAGTTACCAAACACAACCAGGTTCATTTATTGCAGATAAATGCGCCGTACACTGTAGAGATATTGCATCGTCAAATCGCAATTGGAACTTACATCGTTGCAATCGAAGCTGTATAAATGCATAATCGAATTGTAACTTCATCGATTGACCAGGGAAATCAGACAGCATCGGATCAGACATTCACTAAATGCAGAACGCTATCTCTCGTGATGCCCATCTCTCTCAGGGTTGTTCCCAGTTGTTCTAATCTCTTTGGCGAATATCTGAAATTGCAATAAAATATTAGAGTTAATAAAAAGTATTCAAAATTTCTTGTATGACTTCAAAGTTTTACTATGAAAAATCGAAGGAAACGATGGAAATTATTTTGTGAACATTTAAGATTTCTTTAACAAATAAACGTTTTTCGCCAGCAAACAAAATTTTGCTTACTTCTCGGTCTCCCTAATAAATATTTTATTTTTAACCCAAACAAACCAGAATAAACTATATAATCACCCGCTGAGAACAATTTTGTATCCTCGAGGAACAGTTCTGACCATAGCCTTGTCCAACAACTGATACAACCTAGCGATGGGATCGTCCGCTGATAGATGGACCAAGTAAACTGTGCCACCGTTTAGGGACCTCACTTTTAATCGCAACTCGGCACGTGCACCCGTTGGTTCATTGATCTGATGCAGAACTGGCGGCTGAAATTACAAAACAGATATATAGTTCGATCATATTGCACTGATAAAACTTCTTACAGCATTCTTCCTGACTGGAGTGGCAGGTTTCTGAGGACGTTGTTGATTCTTTTTCGCTGCTGCGTTGTTCGCTTGAGAGGGTGGTGTTTGCGGTGGAGGAACGTTCGCATTGGTGTCTGGTGGTTTTGCTTTGGACTGGGTTTTGGAAGGGACAGTCAGTCGGGCGTTTGGGAGACTGGAGGATCTTGATCTGTTTCGGAAACGATCTTCTGCAGTTTCGCGTCGACTGAAAATTAGTCAAATTAATTAGTCAAGTTATTTTATGGTATATTATTTTTTAAGGGGGGCTAAATGTGTTGGTCAAATAAAATGTCTTCGAGGCAAGATAGAAGACTTCTTTCTCTACGATTATTCTTATGGAAAGATAAGTAAAATTAATTTATGATATATTATTTTTTAAGAGGGGCTAAATGTGTTGGTCAGATAAAATGTCTTCGAGGCAAGATATAAAAGACTTCTTTTTCTATGATTATCCTTATGGAAAGGTAAGTCAAATTAATTTATGATATATTATTTTTTAATGGGACTAAACGTGTTGGTAAGATAAAATGTTCTCGAGGCAAGATAGAAGACTTCTTTCTCTACGATTATCCTTATGGAAAGATAAGTAAAATTAATTTATGATATATTATTTTTTAATGGGACTAAATATGTTGGTCAGATAAAATGTCTTCGAGGCAAGATATAAAAGACTTCTTTTTCTATGATTATCCTTATGGAAAGATAAGTAAAATTAATTTATGATATATTATTTTTTAAGAGGGGCTAAATGTGTTTGTCAAATAAAATGTTTTCGAGACAAGATATAAAAGACTTCTTTTTCTATGATTATCCTTATGGAAAGATAAGTAAAATTAATTTATGATATTTTATTTTTTAATGGGACTAAATATGTTGGTCAGATAAAATGTCTTCGAGGCAAGATATAGTAGACTTCTTTTTCTACGATAACCCTTATAGAAAGGTAATTAATTCTACTTAAGCTTAAGCGACTTTTTTACAGCAAAAAATGTAAAAGTTTTACCTAGGTGACAGTCTAGTCGACGACCTATCAGTAGAACTGTGATAACACCTTCCAGAACTTGGGAATCTCACCACGCCCTTAGACTTCACAGTGGACTCTCGCAGATGGACATCATGTTCAGCATTTTTCGTAGTGATGTCTCGCTTTTTAGGAAAATAATTCCAATTACGAATGCAATGAAGTACAAATAAAAGTCGAAGTTTACCTTTCCTTTCTGAGTACTCAAACCGAGTTCCGCGTTTATGTGCGACTGCAAGTGGGTCTTGGAACAAATGTTGTTGTGCGAGGCTAAGATCTGAGAACGGAGAACGTACATCTCCATTGGGGGAGCATCCGTGCATCCTTTCGCTTTTAAAGATCTGAATAAAAGGTTGTTTTAGGAAAAGTTCTTGTAATTCTAAGGAAAAGGGATATACCTGATCGGCAGAGGCATTAGATGCTGAGAGAGATCGAAATTCGAGGCGTTGTCTATGGGGATGGGGTATCGACGAGTTGTTTTTTGCAGAGTGGAGTTGGGTCTGCGACTTTTGGGGGATAACGCCGAGTTATCAATCAGGGGTTGCTTGCCCAATCGATAACCTTGTCCAGGAAAGTCCACGTTACTCAGGAACATCTGAGTTCTGTGATCTTCCACCTTATAGACAAAAGAAAAGGAGCTAAAATAACTTTTACAGAATTTATATTAAATGAGAATTATTATCAGTATTAGATAAGTGAAAATTTTTAGTTTGAGAATTGTTAAGATTTTTATTCTTGTAATTCGAGATTCGTAATCGAAATCTCAAACTTGAAAAAAAAACACTTAAAGAATCTGTGAGAGTCTATGAGTGTTAAATTTTTTACTGTGAAGCTTCAATTGCAACTTGCAATTTTAAGTTTAAATTTCATCCCTCTGAAAAAATAAATTGAAAGTAAACACTTAAAGAATCTGTGAGAATCTATGAGTACTAAATTTTCCACTGTGAATCTTCAATTGCAACTTGCAATTTTAAGTTTAAATTTCATCCCTCTGAGAAAATAAATTGAAAGCAAACACTTAAAGAATCTGTGAGAATCTATGAGTATTAAATTTTTCACTGTGAAGCTTCAATTGCAGCTTGCAATTTTAACTTCAAATTTCATCCCTCTGAGAAAATAAATTGAAAGCAAGCACTTAAAGAATCTGTGAGAATCTATGAGTACTAAATTTTCCACTGTGAATCTTCAATTGCAACTTGCAAATTTTATCATCCCTCTAAGAAACTAAAACTTTAAAATTAAAATTGCTTAAAAATTTGAGTCAGAGTTATTTTTACTTTGAAAGGAACACCGTTCGGGTAAGCCTCCTGCAACTCAGAAGGAAAATAGCCATCCAAGATGTCCCGAATAAACGAAATCGTTGTGGGTTCGTTGTAAGGGCGTAAAGGTCCTTCTTGAACTATCATTCCATTTTTGTAGAATTTTAGAGACATGCAAGAAGGGGTCTTGAAGCAATTATTAAATAACATTCGATTAGTTGATCGTCGACAGCGTGCATATAAGTTAAGCGATCAAGATATCTTATCAATATGAAAAGAAGAAAAACACACATTAGCAAAATGTGATTCATTAAGACAACTATGTGCAATTTAGAGTGATATAACGTCTGCGTACATAATTTATATTCAACATTTGTTTCTCATTCGCATAACCGGTTTTATCGATCAACGCCAACCTTGCATGTGATATTAATATGTATGCAGGTCAAAGTATTGCCATCGAAAATTACTTAAAACTGCGTTAAATAAATAATAAAAAAAGATACACAAAATTGTATTACAGATCTTAACCCTTTGCACTCGAAGATAATTTTACTGTTTGCAAACAGCAACTTTAAAATATTAATTAAAATGTTAAATGACTTCTTTTGAAGTTATTATTTCTTTACTAATAATTTCCACTATTGTCTATTTCACTATGTTTATACATCACATAAGCACTATTATAGAATTAATTAAATAATGCTTCTTTTAAATTATTATATTAAATGGCGCCTAAGAGGCGCCTCTCGAGCGCAAAGGGTTAATATCTTAACAATTATGACTTTAAGATAAATTACGTAAAAAGAACATTTTAAGAGTAGATCGATCTTTACATCGCTTTTATAAGTTTTTGATAAAATGTACGAATACACGATTTACTTTGAACGTTGCCCCGTTTCCTCTTTCATTATGCTGCACGTGAACTTCGCCCTTGCCCGCGGCCAGATTCAGCTGATCGATGTTAGCAATAACCTGGTCGTAACAAGTCTCGATGGGGTTACTGAAACGCATCGATAACTGATAATTAGCTCGATCCGGATGCCGATCTTTTTAAGTAGTAACGTATACTCGATTTACTTGGGAGGCGCTTCGGGGCACTTGGGGCTGTTCGTGTCGCCCACCCAGATCAGACCATAATCAGACAGGAATTTCTACGACATCAGAGTACTTTTTACAATAGGTCGATGGAAAATTTCGCGACAAATTTTTTGATAATAAATTTCGTTTAGATGTTAGATACTGTTAGGTACTCTGAATCAGAAATGGGCCTCGTCAATCGTTGCAAATAAATTGGGCATTCAACAAATAACAAATTTGTTAGCTAATAAATAATACATTGACCATAGAACAAATTGACCATTTAACAAATAACAAATTGGTAATTTAACAATTCGGTCATTTAAAAAACCATAATCGATCACGAATTAAATTTGTTCTACCACCCTAATCAATCTACGTATGCTTCTAAATTAATTTTCAGGAATTATATCAATGTGAATGCATCAACAAGTATCATTGCTAAGTGGCAATATAGCGAGAGTCTACAGTTCCCGAAATTTGCACACGTTGACGAACAGTCGTCCCATTTCCGTTCTAAACGAACCTCCATCTCGTATATCTTGCGCTCCAGCATCAGACACCGATCGTAAAGATGCTCCGAATGATCCGTTTGCATTCGTCTCTGTTGCAGTTCCTTCTTCCGCTGAGTCTCTTGGTTCTTGTTCTTGTTCTCCCAATCCTTCACCTGTGTCGATTCGAGAGTAAAGCGTTATCGAAAAGGAAGAAACGATTGGCCAACGAAAACAGTGGAGAACCTTCCGTTTCAAACGAACGATCTCTTGATCTTTCAACTTCAATTGATCCTCGTTCCTCTTCAGATTCGATTGTACTTTTTGTAGCTGAGACTCTACTACGCACAACTGTTTCGTCAGTGCACCGATCAGCTCGCTTTCTGTAATAAGTTAAGCTTATTTCAAATAGAACTCACGTATCTAGTGTTTCCTTATGCAGATTTTGTAAATCTATCATCCATGTTTCTGACAAGTTGTCGAATTAAGATAAAATTACAGTGAAGCAGTTGCGAAGCGATTATCGGTCGATCCTCGAACGAGGATCTAATCCCGCGAGAACGTGTCATTAAATCAAAGTAAAAAAACACGCAACTGGTTGCATATATTTTTTCTTGCATAAATCTATGAATAATCGTACCTTCTTGAATGACCGCATTATCGGGCACGTAAAAGCTCGTCGGCTTAGCGTTGCAGTTCCAATATTTTCTGCCGCCGTTGAACGTGCTGATGGACGTCTGTCGAGAATCGAAAGACTAGAGTCTCATCGACATCGGAGGAAAATTAAACGATTACCGTTCTATCGATTCTCCTGTGAATTCGATTCATGCTACTTCTGCTCTCGGCTACACCGATATTTGCACTTTCGAACGAGTTACTTCTGACTTGACATAACTCCTCCTCGTTATCCACTAGGTAAGTCGAGGTCGAAGAAATCCTTTTCAACCTGCGTGCAAATACTTACGTCTTAGAATCGTTTCGTGGGATTTCATCGAGCACGGTATCGATTTCAGCTACGAGATACTTGTGATTGCTGTTCTGATTCGGGGTAGAGGTTGAAGAGCATTTTGTCAGTTTTCTCCGTGATGACGCGGGACGGTTTGGTTGGCTCATCGTGCGACGGCGGCATTTATCGGCGAATTGGCTAGCATTTACATTGAAAATTTATGCTAGATTTTCCGAAAGTGTTCCGGTGGTCTAATCGCAGACGCACGAGGAAGTGATCGACCGTGAACTCTGCAGCTGATGACAGTTCGCGATCGAACAAACGATCGATGCGAAGTTGAATCGTTCGCGTTATGCGATACCCATGCATTTATATTGGAACGCCTCGAAACAGGTGTTGTTCCACGTGTTTCGATACACGTTGAACTGGATGCATTTAACAAAAAAAGAAATACCGTCTCCTTAATCGATAAAGGCTGGCGCCGAATGGAATCCCGAGAATCTTTTGTTGTAAAAATGCTACTTGAAAAATGACAGAACGTTTCGCAACGACAAATGGACGATAAATCTGAAATAGTACGAAGCAGTGAAAGTATGCGAGACCTTCGATTTGACCTATTTCAGCTTGGTGCGCGAATGAATTATGTATCGTTCTGAAAACTTGCCCATATTATGTGTTTTCGAGGAATCGATACGACTTGACAAGCATGCAATCTATAGACTACAAGCATGTAACTGTCTTAAACGCTTGCGAATCGATTGGTCAGGTGCAAAGTAGTTCTTTGAACATGTGGTCACAATTGTTCGGTTCCCTAAGCTTCTAAGTTTCTAAATTGCCCAAGTTTAGTCACTATATATTTTTTCTGAGTCTTCGAATTCCAAAGTTCTGATGTTCTTATACCAAAACTTTTATCTCGTCTCAAAATCTTCAAGTTCGCAAAAATTCCTAAAAGTAGAGTTTTTTTAATTATTATATTTTCTGAAGGAAGTCTTAGTCTTAGACTCAAGATAAAATATTTGTGGACGTAATTTTCATGATTATTTTCAATTTTAGGAAGCAAAGGGTTACGCGAAGAGATGAGTCGAAAGATAAGAGTTAGAAAGGGCGCGCTTCCAGGTGTTCGAACGTTTCGGATATTAAAGAGCGAGTAAAATCGGGATATTCCGAAGTAGAGTTTTATCTTTGACACGCGTTCATCCACCTACGCACGACCTTCAAATAAAAAATCGATGAAAGGAAAAGATTCGATTCGGAGCAGCGACGCCGTAGTGACGGCGACGCC